GGTCACAAGGCAGCTGTGAATTTCAATAAATGTCAAGCAGTTTCAATATCACATTCTGTGTTGGAATTGTAGTAGGTTTTCCAGTAAATCATATATATGGGTTGTGGGCACCCTAGTTCGTTTGAGGTGATGAGGGACTGGCAGTTGATGTACGCATGCAATATGAGTTATTATTTTTATAAAAATGCATAAAGATTTGTAGGAAAAGTAATTATAAACAGCACTAAGTAGAGATTATCTTGTTGGATGAAGTCTACATAGATAAAATTATCTCGCAGGCCCCGCCTTTAGAGATATCATAATGCATTTCCCTTTGAGGATCACTCCCATGAAGCACGACCCTCTTATATTAGGACATTAAAAGAAATAATGGATTAATATGAAAGCACTTTTCGCTACTAAAGGTATGACTATACCTAAGGCATAGCAATATGGTTGGTCCTACCTCTTTTGATACCCAATTTGACATCTGATCTTACAGGAATATTCTCTTGGCCAGATGCTGAATTGTTTGATTTAGGTACACGTTCAACTTCCATTTTGCTTTCTGCCTTCATTTTCACATCCACGCGGGATAGCCTTTTGGCAGATTTGTGATCTCCAGGATAATCAAGCTTTAGTTTTCTCAGAAGACCCGTTCTTGTCCCGTTACCTGCGTTTCCGAAAGTAATGTTCCGAAGTGTTGTGCCCGGGGAAGAAGTCGGCTCAATGATGTCAGCAGTTTGTGTCTCTTGTACTGCATCTGCTTCTTTTGTCTTTCGTGAACAGTTATTCCGGTGGATAGACTCCCGTGTAGGTGAGTTCGGACAAATATGGGGTAGGCGTGAATTAGTTGGATTATCAGTTTGCGACCAGCTACCGTGCTCCGAGTATATTCCATTACCCCAGGTGTTGAATTTACGATCATTCAGTGGAGGTGTTGAAGGAGAGACTAGGGGCGAAGGAGATATCGGAGGAGAGGGCCAGACTGAGGAACTAGGCGATATTGACCTTGATGTTGAGACAAATAGGCGGGGTCTTGGTAATGACGAAGAACCCTTCTGGAAATATCGGCTGTTAGGTGGGGGAAGCTGAAGGCGGATATGACTCATATTCAGTTTTCTGCTACGCCTGGAATTACCAAAGGGCCAACTGGTAGCGTGCCCACGATTGAATGTGAATCCTGGCACGTTTTCGACAAATGGTTCTGATCCGGAGCTTTCCTGAAAATTCGGCCAGCAAGCAGCAGTCATTTCATCGCTGCTTTGAACCAACTGTTCTGAATAAAGACAACCCAAATGTGTGTATATCTGTTTGGGGAGCTCAGGCGCCTTAGCGAGCTTGTTGGTCTTGCATCTATTTCGTGTGCCGCTATCCACGGAGGAATGTCTATTGGTGGGCTGTCTCGAAATTGGATGTCTAGTGACTGGGATGGGGGTCTCTGAGAGGTATATCCATTTTCCTGGTCCTACCTCAGCGAAGGCCTGATCCTTTAGCGAATGGGCGTATATTTCAGCCGAACATTGATTCCAAGTTGATGGGTGCTTGGTCTGGATAGGCTCTGAAGGACGTATGTCCGGAGGGTCTGAGTAAAATAGAGGTGGTACATATGTTGCGTGTGAGATGGCCTGATCCACAGATTGGTATGGGTAACCGTCTGGTTGGCCGACTTTTGGACAAGCATGTGGTTGCCTCGCCAAGCCGACACCAGGAATCAAAGAGTCCGAATCAGGATATTCATATTTGTGATCGCTAACTAGGAAGATGGCAGAGTCAGTATTCTCATCCATGCTAATACGTTCGTCTGGGAACCTGGAGTTACGCAATAGGCTGTGAGGACTTATTGGTTCAGTGTCAGGTATTTCTAAGATGCATGATTGCTGGCCTGAGTGCGACAAAGAGGTATTTTGCAAATCCTTAGAGGGATATTGCCTTCTTGGCAAGTTGTAGGAATGCTGCCGGCGGGGCTGACGTTGGGGCAGATACGTTTTATGGGTAAGATGAGAATGACTTGGTCGTTCGTGAGACAGCAAGGCTGCATCCTCCAGAGATTGGTACAATTCTTGGGGTGGAGTCTGCAGGTCCTCTAAAATAGCCGGCTCTTTATGACTCATATATTGACGCCTCACTGCCGATTCCCCAGAGGTGATATTTGATGTTCGCGTTTGGTCCTGGCAAGTTGGGTGGCTTAATGAGGTTGTTGACGATAAAGATTGCGACTTGCCTTTCAGAGGAGTAATTTGGTCAGTCGAACCCTGATTGACTCTGGCATATGTCGTCGGCTTGCAGAATTGTAAATCGTGTCGTTCATTAGGGAGTAAAACGCCTGGCTGACCATGGTATCTCAGGTGCATATACGGGCTCTCAAATGGACTGTCAAAAGGCACTTTAGTGAGATTTGGTCTAGGGAAATCAGAAGCCTCTGGCTCACTAAGTTTCCGTGACCTGATTGGTGCATTAAATAAATGAGCTTTCGTAGTACGGTTTTTCAGAGTTGGATAAAATATTGAATCTGAGAGGAATTTGGGTTCTCTTTTATGCCATGCTTCCTGCATCACATCAGCTGAATGCCACGCTTCTGGGGAGCGTTCGCAATATCGGCTATGATAAGAGATAGATGGATGCATACTTTCTGGCTCCTAAAATTAAAAAAATAAAGCAAGTTTTTTAGTTTATTTAGGCTACACTAGCGATAGGCAATATTTAAAATTCGTCCAACTAAAAATACTGGACTAGTAAAGATCCCATTAAGGTTTTGACTTTTATCTCCTCTATCATAAACAGACGTCTTTTTATTTCTTAGTTTCCCCAAATTATGGTGTTTTTAAACTAGTTTACTATAGGATATAAAATATCATCACGAAAATTGGTTGAAGGCTTACACTTAATTTGTGTTAGGATTTTTTCCATATTTTTTAATTAATTGCCAACTGCAAATGAACCGGGAAGAAATCCGTCACGCAATCCTAGCTCTACAAACTCTTAGTGTTAGGTAATATAAAGGGAACTTTGCGGCATTTATAATCTACTTTAATTTCTCAAGATAAGGCTATTAAGGTTCTAACGGCAAAATATATACCTGAGACAGTCTATAGGCATAATTAATTAATCTTTCAGAGCTTGAGAGTTCATAAGCATAAGATAACTGGAAGAATTTGACAATGCCTACAATATTAAGATTTTGTTGAAGAATATATTATGAAGTAAAATTTCACCCTTATTTATCAGATACTACAAAGTAAAAAATCTAGATCCATGATAATAAGCAGTTGTGAAGAAGATTGATGCATTCTTTCTGTACTGATGCACCTATCACTTATAGTGAAAATATTGTTGCTTCTTATGTTCATAGGGTAAATTCATTATTGTAATTAAAGGAATTAAAACTAGAATGCTGTGGTCGGCTTGACCTTAGACTTTAGTATTAGAGAAAGAAAAGGCTTAATTCGAGTTCGAATAAATAATTGCATAAAAGTAGTTATACCATCTATTATGGGTATTAAAATTTCTGGTGGTTAATGCGGTGTTTTTTTCCCTTACAAGCTTAGATAAATAATTTCGTAATAGCTTTGATCTAGAGCTAAATTTAAAAAAATAAATATTACTATGCATAACATCCTGACGGATAGAATATTTAATTTTATCACCATTATATGGATTATAAGCAAATGCTTTATTCCTCAATTGCCAAAAAAAGTAAGTAGATAAATATGAATATTGTTGCTTCATGCTTCCACTAAAGAATGATAAGCTAAGATTGGTTAAGCACAAGGTAAGCCAAGAAATATTTTTATTGTGGTGCTAAGCTGTTGGCCGATCAGGACACGAAATAGCAACAACTCCTTATTGAATCTCTATAGTCACAACTTAATAATTCAGTATTATTTATAAATCTCATCCACTCACATTCGGACTTATTTGACCCGCATGACTCCACACGGGTATTTGATGCAGCGGTTTCTCTAAAAGGCCATTGTTATGTCTGCTTCGCTTGCCTAAGTTCCCATGCCTTGCGAGAGAATGAAACTGCTGTGACACTGGAGAATATTGCCGTTCCGATCTAATAGATGAATTTTCGTAGGTCGTCGAGTCGCTCAACTTCCGCTCCCTATTGGTGTATGGATCATTAACAGTCTTTGGGGGGAAATTCATCAACTCAGGTCTTCTTGGCTGCGGATCAGTGATGGTCTCCTTAGATTCCTGAATTTTTCCAGTCTTTAGTATGGGATCGGAGAGCAGCGAATAATCGACAGATTCATTGCGCATGAATTCTGTAGGCTGAAGGAAACCAACCGGTCTAGTAGACTTAGTAAGCTCCTGGCAATCGGTTGACCAATGATGAGGAGAATCACTGACAC